TGCATTTGTGATGGCCGTGTTCTCTTCCAGCTTCTTTCCGTAGTGTATTCCAGAATCATTCAGGCTAATTATTGAATATGAATGTAAATGCTGCATCAACTTACAGGAGTCAGGACTGCCTTGCATGATGTGCATGGTCCGCAGCCAAGGTGGAGGTTGCTGGGGCGCATACTTGGCTCAACCAAATAGAGGGGAGAAGGGCGCCACTTAGTTGAAATTCATTGTACGTTTTCAGTTTTTTGGGCCGGTGGGTTCATTTTCATCAGCAGCATGCCCGATCCACTCCAAGTAGACGCTTTGTTCTGTTTTCTGATCTGACAGAGAGAGCCGGGAGTTGCCACACCTGTTGGCATCTCTCATGGCGAGTTACCTCCTCTCTTAGTATCAGACATTGCTCATGTCCAACTGAGATTCAATGAGATTCAGCTTCCAGGTGACTAAGTGGAGCTTGAGCATGGAATCTGGATCCTGTAGGGTGTCAAGCTTCATTTGGTGACACCCACGTGAGAGAGGAACGATTTGCCTTGCATGATTTGAGTGGTCCCATGGGGCACCTCGAGGTTCCAAAGTTTGTGCCTGTGAGGTTCTTCCTCTTTCCACCCTCCGAGTCAAGGAAGCTCTACGAAGAGACAGGCGGCCCAATGCAGGACGCTGTTTCGCTTGGCCAAAAAAAGAACCCAGGTCAAGAGGAAATTCAAGGCAGAAAAAGCGGTGTGAAAGGGAGGAGCACTCCAAGGTCAGCTAGTCATGTCTTCCTTGCAGCTTGCATCAAAGTTGGATCGGCTAAATCGGCAGAGTAATCAAGAACATAGATGAAGAGTTTGAATGAGTTTGATGATGTTTGTTGGATTCAATTCCAAAGCAGTGGAAGTACAGGTCAGCAGATGTCTATACATTTAAGTTTACTGTAAGATACCAGTAGTACTGCACAAGGCGGTGGCGGAAGTTTCAAAAATAGGAAACCTATAGGAGAAGTTGGTTGTTGTGAATCAGGGATGGCAGAGCGAAGCCACTGATTGACCGAAAGATGGTTGGAGTTGTGTTTGCTGGAATGGTTGCAATGGTTGCAGTGGTCACCTCACCCACAACTGCTGGATGTAGTGTGATGTACTGCAACTGTAGTTGTAGTTGTAGCGTAGTGGAGTTGTAGTTGTGGTGTAATGTAATTAGTGTAGTGTAGTTGCAGTCATATGGTTGTAGCTGTAGTTGTTTTGCAGTTGTAGTTGTAGTTGTTGTAGTTGTAGTTGTTGTGTGGTTGTAGTTGTTGTGTAGTGTAGTAGTAGTAGTAGTTGTTGTTGTTGTAGTTGTTGTAGTTGTAGTTGTAGTTGCTGTTGTTGCTGTTGTTGTAGTTGTAGTTGTAGTTGTAGTTGTAGTTTTAGTAGTAGTAGTAGTAGTAGTAGTAGTAGTAGTTGTTGTTGTTGTAGCTGTAGTTGTTGTAGTTGTAGTTCTAGTTGTAGTTGTTGTGTAGTTGTAGTTGTAGTTGTAGTTGTTGCTGTTGCTGTTGCTGCTGCTGCTGCTGTTGTTGTTGTTGTTGTAGCTGTTGTAGTTGTAGTTGTAGTTCTAGTTGTAGTTCTAGTTGTAGTTGTAGTTGTTGTTGTGGTTGTGGTTGTTGTTGTTGTTGTTGTTGCTGCTGTTGCCGTTGTCGTCGAAGTTAGGGTAGTTAAGTTAGTGAAGTTAGTTAAGTTAGTCAAGTTAGTTAAGTTAATCAGTGTCTACTTTTTCGACATCTTCACGTCAAAAAAGGCTCAAAACCCTCAGTTTTTTACATTTTTGACTTCGAAATGTGCTTCGCGCCACAACGGCGTGCACTTTTTCAACATCTCAACTTCCAAAAGTGCTCCGAGGTTGCGGTGTTTTGTCCATTTTGACTTGGAAATGTGCTTCGCGCCACAACGGCGTGCACTTTTTCATGTCTCATCTGGCCAGCTGGCTCCGCACCCGCCGCTTTAGCGAGCGTACTTTTCGACCCTCCGGAGCCTCAAATCATTGGAAAAACACAGTGAATCGCGACTTTCCTATCTTTTCGCGCATCTACCTCTTCTTTCTTCTGATCTTGTCTCTTCTGACTCTTCTCACCTCTGCTTTTCAACTGTCCATATTGTCGGAAGTTTCACTTCTAAACTTCCTTCGACTATAAAGATCTTTAAAGATCCATAAAGTTAATAAGCAAGGAAATTCGCGGAAGATGGTAGGAAAGCCTGACCTTGAAGGAGACCAGTGGTTTTGCTACGAGCATTAGCGGGGCCAGGGCCTCATGACCTGGAATGATCACTCTGGGTAGTGACAGTCGATCCAGATCCAGTTTGACAAGTATTTTGACTACACTACTGCAAACCATTTTACACCAGTCCCAAGCCATTCTTGAACTGATACTGCAAACCGTTTTGAAACAGTGTTGAGATGTTTGACCTGCTTGAGCTTCGATTTGACACAGTCGATGCGTGTGCTCCCAGGTGGACATCTTGGCACCCAGTGCGAAGCGGCATCCGCTCTTCGCAGAGGCCAAATCCTTGGCAGCTTGGATGAAATGTCTCTCTGTCATTCCCTGTCACCTGTGGTCACCTGGTCCTATCGTGACCTTGTCAATTTTCTGAGTCCAATCAATGGTACAAAACATGAATAAATGAGAAATCTTACTTACACATTATGACATCGACATATGTACAATTTGACGATGTATGCAATTGTAAGAAGGTTGCAATTGTATACAGTATACATGCATGTGATAAACTAGCTCGTTCAATACATTTATAATCATTTATTTGCATTTATGGTGAACTACGGGCATGTCCCTGAGGGTTGTGGATGCGCAATGCAGAGCCATTTTGCCATCGCCTGGCACAGGCTAATCAAATCAAAATTCGATCATGTGGGGGCGCACTTGTTGCTGAACAATCCCCAAAATGAGAAATGCGATCGAACATCTAGACAATAAGCAGCGAAATGAAGCCACCATCCAACCTGGACGGTGCAAGCCTTCAGCAATTGTCTTCCTCCAAAAATTGCCAAAAGACGCCAAAGCCCAAAAGCTCACAGCTCAAAGCTCAAAAATGTTGCTTTCTTTCCCTCTATGTGGAAGTCTATGTCCTGTTTGACTGGCTCACGGTCATTCCTTCTGGCTGGTGGTGGTACTCAGTGTCGCTGGATCCATCTGTGACGCCAGAGAACTCAGCCTTGCCTTTCCTGAAGCCTGTTTGTCAGTGTGGCAAGCGGCAAAGAAATAATGCAATGTGATAGGGTTTCATGCGTTTTGTATGTGGGTCTTTTGAAACTAAGTCACGGTCGATTGATTTCATTACCATGCGCAGCGGGTCCCGACTGTGAGTTGAGCCGTGAGGCTTTGGCATCAGTTCTGGACAGAGGAAAACAAGCTCCGCTTCCCGGAAGTTGCCTGGGAGTACTTCAACTGTCAGTTCCTTGACTTGACCTGTTGTTATCCTTTTGTTTTATTGGTCAGTCTGTCAGAATTGGACTGAACATGACTAAACACTGAGTAGGCTTGGCAGACGATGAGGGTCCGGTTAGAATGATGCAGACACAGAACTGTTTTTTGAGATACGTTAAGACCGTTAAGACTTTAAGAGTAGATTTCAGTCCTGTTCCAAGGAAGATGACCCCAGAGTTCTGGACTGCACTGCCTCAAAAGATCAAGGCTTTGCGAGAGACTCGGCACAAATTTGTGAGGTCCCCTGCTGTGTCGCATTTGCATCATGAGATACTTCTGATCCACGTGGCAATGATGGATGTTTAGTGGGCGCCTTCATATTCCAAGAATATAGTTTAATTACATGCAATTTAGATATTTTGGACAGGCATTCTTGTGAACCCTGTGAAGTGCAGGAGTCTATGGCTGAAGCTGAGTAGTGCTTGAGGGTGATATTTCCATATCTTTCCAAGCTGCGGAAGCTTTGCCGTAGTTCCAGTATGTTCAAGTAGAAGTTGCGGGTACCAAAATGTACCAAAGAAGGGTGGCATAGCTAAATTGGATGAAATTGGTGGACAATGATGATGCTGAGATATGCTGAGTTTCTTTGTTCTGAGCAATAACCAAGTGAACGAAGGCACCAAGCTGGCTGCGAAGTGAAAGAGCACATCGCGGAAAAAACAAGCTGGGAAATCCAGTGGTTGATGATATTGAGCTTGTCATTAATTCCTGGTACTGAATGACATGGTATGTTCTAATCTACTTTTGTATGGATTTCTTGATGGAGTGGATTGAATGGAAAGCCCAATATGTGCATTTAAAGTCCACATATGTCCACATATATCCGCACAATAATAACCTTCATAAAATCCAATTGGATCCAAGTGGGCATATTTTGATATCGGTTTCAATGGGACATGCTTTGCATTGACATGCATTGACTATGACTATGACCAAGTCTCCATTTTCGACAGGATGCGACAGTCCATGATCGCGCTGTCAGCTGTAGACCAAAAGAAGAAGGCCAAGCAGCAAGTGGCTGGACATGGTGACGAGCGAAGTCTGTATACTTCAGTAATGTATAGTGATGTGACATCATGGGTCCTGACAGAGCCTTGTGATCCTAATTTTTTACTGTAAAGATAAAAATAATAAAAACCGTTCTTAAAGAAATACCCACGCAAAGAATAACAAACGGAAGATTGGAGACTCAGAAAACCAAAAGATGTCAAACAAGAATCAGGAAAAAAGGAATTGGTGTTGATAGAGAGGATCGCGAGGGTTTAGAGAGGTCAAGGGACAGGTTCGAACTTGTTATTTAAGTTTTTCTCCTACGGAGTGCATACTAAGTAAAGATACAACTAATATAAGTTATAATATAAGTAAAATAAGTAAAGCTCTGACGTACTCTGAGTCAGGCTGTCAAAGACTGTCGCGGGGCCACGACACGGCAAGGGACAGAGGGAGGTGCTTCTTCCAATTCTTTGGCTGGCAGCCTCAGACATGGCATGCCTGTGCTATGTCCATGGTATTCCATGTTATTCCATGGATTTCCATGGTATTCCATGGTTATTTGTCGATGGCCGGCATGCTTCAGATTTGCAACACATTTGGATGGTGTCTCTTAAAAATTGTTCAAACTTCTTGGTTGAGGTCAGCATGGAAAGACCTGGTCCTCGAGAAGCAAAGGGACGGTGATTGTGGGGGCTGGGCAGTTTGAGGAGGTCCAGTCAGGGTGTGAGGTTGATTACATTTGATTACCAGGTCATGCCCTTGGGTGCAGAATACTGCATCAACCTTTGCGACATGATGTGGCGGATGTGGATCGATGCGGGCTTCGAAATGTTTGTTTCTGATCATTCTTGTCGCTTGAACCGCGTGGGGAGCAAGCTGCTTTGAACGGTGGTGTGCGGACGGTGTGGGTGCAAGGGAAAGGAAGGGAAAGGAAGGGAACAGAAGGGACAGGAAAGGAAAGGAAAGGAAAGGAAAGGAAGGGAAAGGAAGGGAAAGGAAGGGAAAGGAAGGAAAATGAAGGGAAAGAAAGAGAGAAAGGAAAAGGAAGGGAAAGGAAGGGAAAGGAAGGGAACGGAAGGGACAGGAAGGGAAAGGAATGGAAAGGAAGGGAAAGGACGGGAAAGGAACGGAAAGAAAGGGAAAGAAAGAGAGAAAGGGAAAGGAAGGGAAAGGAAGAGAACGGAAGGGACAGGAAGGGAAAGGACGGGAAAGGAAGGGAAAGGACGGGAAAGGAAGGGAAAGACAGGGAAAGGAAGGGAAAGGAAGGGAAAGAAAGGGAAAGGAAGGGAAAGGAAAGGAAAGGAAGGGAAAGGAAGGGAAAGGAAGGGAAAGAAAGGGAAAGGAAGGGGAAGGGAAAGGAAGGGAAAGGAAGGGAAAGGAAGGGAAAGGAAGGGAAAGTAAAGGAGAGGTTGATTTGGAAATCAGCCGCCGTCGCATGACCGTGCTCAAATGAGCTTGCTTGGCTATTGCGCACCGTCACTCAATGCTTCCGTGCAGAGCTGAAAAAAAGTATTTTGCAGTGAATGCGTCCATAATGTTCATCTTCTAAAAAGATGCCGGCAAGAGGCGAAAGGGAAATAAACCAATTATTACTCAAATTTGTTTGCTGTCGTTTTGCTTTTGGGTTCTCAGGCCCCCCCTTGTTTTATTTTTTTTCTTTCTGTGCGGGGGGGGTCCGTGTGGCTTGGACGGCTCTGGCCTATGTGCGCATGGTGGGCCTGGTGCCCGCGTGGTCCGAGTGGTGCGCGTGGTGCGCGTGGTGGGCGTGGTCCAAGTCGCATAGGCCGGAACTGCCTATCACACGGGTGGTCCGTGCTGTGGACGCTTAGCGTTTATTTGGCGGATAGAGTATATACAAGACTTACCAGGTGTTGCGCGGCGTTTGCTTGACAGCGAAAAGTTTGAGGGCGTGGCCGTCTCTTCTTTCCAAGAGCGCTTATGCACGCTTTGGCAGCGAGGTAAAAATTTATGAAAGTGAGTTGGTTTCTGCTTGATGAAAGTGAGTTTGTTGTCTTTGGTGTCACGTACTCTCGGTACCCGGCAACGCTGCACGTTTTTGATTGAACGTTGATGATATATTGATACTACGGTGAGGGTGGGGTGGGGTGGGGGGGTGCAATAACGTTCATGTGTCTTGCGTTCAAGTTGATGCTACGTTGAGGTTACGTTCATGATAGCTTGTTGTTATGCGACGTTCTTCTTGCACTTGCACACACACACACACGTCATGCTACGTTGGGGTGGGGTGGGGTGGGGTGGCTAATAACGTTCAAGTGTACTTCCACACACACGTCATGCTACGCTACTGCACGTTCTTCTTGCACTTGCGCACACACGTCATGCTACGTTACTGCACGTTCTTCTTGCACTTGCACACACACACGTCATGCTACGTTACTGCACGTTCTTCTTGCACTTGCACACACACACACACACGTCATGCTATGTTGGGGTGGGGTGGTTTGAGAAGCAGGTTGGGTAAAGAGGCTGGACATTCGTTAAACTCTCCGCTAGCGTGTATGGGCTGGCACACAAGTCCTAGATAGGTCTTGGATGTGGCTGAAAAATTGTGCCGCATTGCTTGAAAAACAGAAATGGCAAAGTCATTAATCCCCGCTTGTGGGAATACATATACCAGTTCGTCTACCGACATAACAAGAAGGACTAGACCGCCACGCTGCTCTGGATGAAAAACAAGTTTTGCGTCCTTTTGCATTTCGGGACCTTGAATGATGATACACACAAAACACTGTAAATACCAGGTCAAATGCTCAATTTTGATCGATTTCACCCGGGTACTGAGGAGGCGTGTTACCTTGTCTTTTGACCATCAGTTCCGTCACAGAATCTGCAATTTTGGGCGCCTCACCTTGCCAGCACTTTTTTCTTGCTGAAACCAGAAAATGGCAACTAGTGACGCTGTTGATGACAAACACGAAAAACTTGTGCTCCCAGAATAATGCTGATGACATTCATTCGCTTTGTAGCAAAGCATCATGTAGAGAAGACCATGCAGCGTAGCATCATGAGGACAAGACCGAATAGCACAGTATGATACAAAGCACGCTAAGCAGCATCACATGAGCTAGGGAAACCCAAGAAGCCTAACAAGAGGTAGAGAAGGTCAAGCAGCGTAGCAGCATGAAGACCAGACAAAAAACTCAACAATATATAGAGAACACAAGCAACATAACAAAGGAAGGTCAAGAACGTATAGCATGAGGTAGAAAAGAGCAAGCAGCGTACCGTCTTGATGACAAGATCAAACAGCATAACATGAGACAGGGAGCACCAAGAAACATAACATACGGTAGGGAAGGTTCAGCAGCGTAGCATGAGGTAGAGACAATCAAGCAGCGTGGCATTATGAAGACCAGATCGAGTAGCATGACATGATTTAGAGAAGGTCAAACAGCATAACATGACGCAGGGGAGATAAAGCGGCAGCATGAGGCGGAGAAGACCAAGCAGCCTAGCATCATGCAGGCCAGATCAAAAAACACAACCTCATGTAGGGGACATCAGGCAGCACAACATGAGGTAGTCAAGGTTGAATAGTGTAGCATCGCCAAGGCAAGATCAAACTATCATAAATCAAAGATCTGATGTCGAAAACACCACAGTGACAAGGAGCTGGTGGAAGGAGAAAGAAGGAAGAAAAAGAAGAAACTGAGGAAGAAGGAGTCGCACCTTTAATGAAAAACTAGAGACCCTCACCTGGCACGTAGGAAGGCATGGGAATTTTGACAAACTGCTCGTAGTTGATGGGCCCAAGCAAAGCGTTAACAAAAAATCAGAGCATTAAGCAGACGTTCCGGAGAGGTTTTAGTTTCTTTGATTTTGAAGATCGTCCCCGGGAAAGAACCATACTGGAATTTTTACAAAAAAAGTGGGGAACTTCAAACTACTTGTCTCGTACGTGTCCTGTGATTGCAAGAAGGATTGGAACAAATTATTCGCAGAATCCTTTCTTCTTGTACAGTTTCTGTGGGATTTAGTGCCTTTCGATTGCTGGGTGCTAAAAGGAATGTGTATTTGCCAATGCATGTGAACCGTCTGTTTTTTTGGAGTCAAACAAGGTCTATGTCAGCTCCGTCTGGGATACCGATGAGAATACAATAAAGCCAAGTTTTCAGCTCTCAAATTTGACCCCTTGTGGCAGGCAAGGCCTTTGTCAGTCAAATCCTGCACGAGTAGACTACTGTAGCCAATAGGTAGGTCAGAAAATAGCAGATCATAGTATGATCATAGTGATAACTGTTCTCTTATTTGCAAACGATGTCTCCGTTAGCTTTCTTTTTGCAGGGCCAATTGGGTAGTTGACATCGCCGGGTGTCTCATGAATTCAATTGTCCTCCGGTCACAAAGATAGCCCTCATTGATTGTGTTGTGTGATGACTCCATGCAGTGCTGTTCGAACGCATTTGCATGCATTTTCCTCTCCCTGCAGGAGGAGGAACTTGAACGTTTGCAGGAGGAGGAACTTGAACGTTTGCAGAAACTCTCCTTGGAGCGCCAGAAACAAGGCGTCGCCCCGCTGCCGGTGGTGCGCCTGTGCTTTGTAGGCCGAGGGCGTGCTGGCAAGACCACAACTTTACGGCGGCTGAAAGGCGAATCATTCCGAGACGATGAGCCTTCCACACATGGTTTGGATGTTTGGGCAGGTCAAGTTGAAGCAGATCTACAAGCGGACCTGAAGAAAACCCACCCATGGAAAAGATGGGAGGAATCGATGCACCTCACTGCCTTGAAGGACACATGTTCATTTGGCCTGCTTGTGCAATATTTTGAAGCGTTAATGTTTTTTGTTTAAGTTCCCCCTGCAAGCAGAGTGCATACATTGTTTTTGTTTGTATTAAAGGGCTCGTGTTGATTGCATGTGCCATCATTTTGCATCGCATTACCAGCAGTAGCCTTTCAGCCCTGCTTTACTTGCAAACATTTGTGTCGTTGCTAGTCATAATCGATTTCTTTAGTAACACTTGCCCGCGCAACATTGATGTCTACATGTTGCAGAGAGGACGGGCTTCGGAACCCACTGCCAAAGGCACGGAAGAACATGTTTTTGTCACAAATTCAAGAACTTGCTGTGCATGCCAGCCTTCGAAAGACTTTCAACATGGAACCGTACAGTCATAGAGAATAGACCGGCCAAGTCGGTGCAGAGGGTAAGCAGCAGCAGTCCATGATGTTTCAGTATGTTTTTTTTTATTCAAGGCAATTGTTGTATCAATCGTTGCTCAAGTTGGGCACTGTTTACTGACATTGTGAGCCAGTGCCAAAATTGTCGTTGTTCATATTGACTATGATCGCTTTATTTACGGTTTCATGGTGATGTTTTTAGTTGCGAAAGGATAGGGAATGCCTCAAAAACTACAAGTTGCTTGTACGCCCAAAGTCAAGTTATATATATATATATATAATGTATATGTATTGTTGGGAGTCGAGGTGGTTTAGTCTCTCCGCTGTTCGCGATCTCATTTTTATTTCTTGTCCAAGACGAACCCTGGATGTTTTTGCAATGGCTTTCCCTTTTGTACTTGAGGCCTGAACTTCAGAAGTTGCAGTGCCACAAGACGCAACCCAATGATACCCTTAAAAGACCATTCTGCATGCAAATATGACCACCACGTCGTCAATGTGCCTAGAAACTTCTTTCTGTCCTCTTCCTCTCATCAATTTCTGTTCCTGTCCTTTTCCATGTTCCTTTCCTCTTTCTCTCCCTGCCTCTTCCTCTTTCCTTTCCCTTTTTCACCCGGTATTTTTATCTTTTCGTTTTTCCCTCATCTTCTCTTTAATTTGCTTGCCTCACCTCCTCCTTTTTTCGTCCCTCTTCCTCTTGCTTTCCTCTCCTCTGTTTTTCCCTTCCCTGTGCCAAAGGAAGTTTGGTACGCCATGCCATTTTTTTCCATATAGGATATGCCCTAACGAATACAACCCGAACACACAATTTTGACGCTGGCTCATATTTTGACATTGTAACATGTTGCTTCGTGCGCAGGGCCCAGAAACAGACGCCCTCACCGCGCAGAATGCTGATGAACAACCAGATGACATGTTGGAACCTCAAGGGCTTATTGAGCCAGAAGCAGGGTCGAAAGACGATGAACAGGCTCAATCAACCCAAGGGCTTAACGAGCCAGAACATGCCACCTCTGTTGCAAGTCATGGACCGAAAGCCAATCAACCAGATGCTCTTCTAGAGAGTTCGGCCGCGGCTCAACCAACCCAAGGGCTCAACAAGCCAGAAGAACATGCCACCTCTGTTGCAAGTCAAGGACCGAAAGCCAATCAACCAGATGCTCTTCTAGAGAGTTCGGCCGCGGCTCAACCAACCCAAGGGCTTGACAAGCCAGAAGAACATGCCACCTCTGTTGCAAGTCAAGGACCGAATGCCAATGAACAACCACAGGAAGACATATCCTCTTCTTCTGGACCCAAGATGTGCGGGCCGGTTGTTTTGGACGAAGACATGCTTTCCAAGCTAGGCTCCCAAAAAGCGGGCATTGATGTGAGGCTGCAATGCTGGGACTTCCCGGGACAAGAAGAGTACGCCCTGTTGAACCAGCTTCATTTTTCAGAAAGAGCGATATACCTGGTGTTTTTGGATTTGACTGGGCAACTTGAGGACGAATGGAGGCACCTGTCTTTCTGGCTTTGGAAAATTGTCAGGTTTTCCACTGAGAAGGATGCATGTCCTCCTATTCTCCTGATTGGCACCAAAGCAGGAGCGCGCAATAGATGCGTCACAGATTTGGATCTACAAAAGCGCCTGGAGGACTTGCAAAGCAGAGTCCCCCGCTTGAAAGAGCAGCTGCAACCCCATCCAGCGGACTTGGGAAGCAAGTGCACCAAGTGTCCCTGGCTATTTCCAATTGAAAACAAGGGGAAAAAATTTGAAGCCTGGATCAGTCCTTTGCGGATGCAACTTCAGCGAATGGCCCTACAGTTTGTCTCGCCGCGTGACCTTTGGGAGGCTGGGAACTCGGATGGATCTGTGGTGCCAAGATTCGTTGGTCTGAAGGCGGAGACCTTTCCCTTGACGTGGTTGCAAGCACATGACTTGCTGACGCGGTTGGGGGCTGGATTCAGGCGAGAATTTGACGTGGTCAGACGGAAGTTGCGAATATAGTTTTTGCTCAGTTGTTGAGAACCGGGCTCAGTATTCAATGGGGTTTCGGTGTCATTTCCGGTCATGTTCAAAAATATTGCCAGCATTGCACTCTAGCGAACGGCCATAGAAACCCCACAGCTGTGGCCATGGTCACAAAGTCGTCCTCGGGAAAGCCTAAAGAAACCATCTTTAGGAAACCTTCTTGCGCTGAAGCTGGTACTGCAGCCATGGAAGTGTGGCAAAATCTTTCGTCCAAGGGTTCAATATTTACCACTAAACGACCCATGCAGAAAAACAATTCAATTTAGTTGTACAGTTTCCATATTAAGGTTGTCGCATGTTGTCACATGTCCATGAGTCGAGCTCTCCTGCTGTTTCAATTGCCATTGCCCTCCGGTCAGGGCAAGAGCTGAGAGAGCCCACATCGAGAAGGTCTACCCAGGCGCGCAGCCAGGGAGCAGGCTCAAGATCGAGGACTACCTGCGCGCAACCATCTCAGACAAAGTATGGCTGAATTTGCCACCAGGTGCTTTCATTGAACTTCACAGCCAGGACCAGCTGGATGATCTCAGAGAGGAAGAGCTGAGCTTCGATGTATCGTGCGACTTTCTTGAGCTGAAAGTGGTTCAACGACTTCTTGGAGGAATGGAGCCAAAAGGCTTATCCCTTGAGGACACAGAGAAGCTCCTTGATATGCTGAATAAGTTGGGAATTCTGGTGTGGATCAACGAAGACAAGCTTCGAGACACTGTAATGTTGAACCCGCGGCAAGTTGCAGTGGCGATGGCAAATTTGATAACCCTCTGCTTTAGTGCAGACAACTTTGAGCACAAAAACAGCGCAATCGAGGTTATCAGGAAGATCCCGGACAGTTCTGCAAGCGACCTCCTTCGCTTCAGATCCAGTGGCATTGCAACACAGGACTTGATCAAAGGAGTGTGGAAGAAGGACTGACACCGCATTACAGTGATGCCAAGTCGGGCATTTTGTGAATTCACTTGTCGATAGATCAATTATGATCAAGCGATGTTGCCAATGCGGAGAATTAATGTAGTGTTTAGATGTGTTCTTGCCAGTCCAGTTGCTTAGCCACAATGGGGACCTTATGGATCCCAAAGCGCAAGGTGCCCTTCAGGAGGCGGGGTAAAAATGGGAGCACGAAGAATGGTTGAGTTTTTTCTTTTCTGCTAGTGATGCCTCCGATTTTGGATAACGTACCCATGTTGACCCATACCCACATGCAGAATAATAATCGAAGGCAGTTTAGGAGGAAAACTTTTGTGTTGCGGACATTCTGCCAACACTGTCTCATTTACGTTGCACTCGTCGAGTAAAGTGGGGTGGGGCGGTGAAATGAACGCTCAGTGGTACTTGCACACGAGGATGGTCGGCAGTGACAAGCGAACCCACTCGACAGTCACATGTGAGCTGATCCAACATTCGCAAGCAAAACCCCGCCATCCCACAATTCACCATGACAACAAACACTATCGCATACTATCGCACAACTCACTTTCAGAAAGAATCATTGTCGCACAATGATGCACAACGCACTTTCAGAACAAATCACTATCGTACAAGTCACTGCCACAACAAACCACCATTGCAGAATTCACTTTCACAACAAACCACTGCCTCACATTTAGGTTAACGAAGGAAACCTCGCCTAGAACATCTTCAAACGTTTCATTTTTGGATATTTTTGGAGGGAGGACCATCAAAAAAAAATAATTCTCATCAAAAAAATAATTCATCAAAAAAAATAAATCATCAAAAAGAAATTTAAAGAAAGGAAAGAAAAGGAAGGAAGGAAGGAAGGAAGGAGAGAAGGGAAGCAGGAAAGGAAGGAAGGAAGGAAAGAAGGGAAGCAGGAAAGGAAGGAAGGAAGGAAGGAAGGAGAGAAAGGAAGCAAGAAAGGAAGGAAGGAATGAAAGAAGGGAAGCGAGAAAGGAAGGAAGGAAGGAAAGAAGGGAAGCAAGGAAAGGAAGGAAGGAAGGAAAGAAGGGAAGCAAGGAAAGCAAGGAAGGAAGGAAAGAAGGGAAGCAAGGAAAGGAAGGAAGGAAAGGAAGCAGGAAAGGAAGGACGGAGGGAGGGAGGGAGGAGGGAAGAAAGGAGGGAAGGAGGGAAGGAGGGAAGGAGGGAAGGAGGGAAGGAGGGGAAGACAGGGAAAGACAGGGAAAGAAAGGAAAAGAAAGGAAAAGAAAGGAAAAGAAAGGAAAAGACGGAAAAGAAAGGAAAAGAAAGGAAAAGAAAGGATAAGAAAGGAAAAGAAAGAAAAAGAAAAGAAAAGAAAGGAAAAGAAAGGAAAGAGGAAAGGAAAGGAAAGAAGAAAGGAAAGAGGGAAGGAAAGAGGGAAGGAAAGAGGGAAGGAAAAGAAAGGAAGGAGGAAATGAAGGAGGAAAAGCAGGGAAGGAAGCATGCAAATTGCCATTCTTTACAAATATAATCTAGCTTTCGAATGAAAGGATATACCTGACCAGTGGTAGACGGGCTATTTTAGGACCAAAAACGAAACCCATGTTATCGGGAGATTGTTGGAAGTTAGCAAGGAAACATTAAGGACCCCCCAAAAATGAGGGAGGGTAATTTAATTTGTTTCTTTTCTTTTTCTCCTTGGTTCCTGGTGGCTCCTATGGTTCCCTGTGTGGCTCCTGGCTTCTGTGGCTCCTTCGGCTCCTGTGTCCCTGGTGGCTCCTGGTGGCTTCGTGGCTTCTTGGCTTTTTGGCTTCTGGCTGCTTGTCTTTTAGCTTCTTTGGTACATGGCTCCTCCGGCTCCTCTGGCTTCTTCGGCTCCTATGGCTCCTTCGGCTCCTGTGGCTTTTCGCTCTTATCGCTCCTTCGGCTCCACATCTACACCTACGTCTATGTCTATATCTATATCTCAATCAATCAATCAATCAATCAATCTATCTATCTTTCTATCTATCTATTTGTCTTTCTATCTATCTTACCCTATCTTACTCTATCTTACCCTATCTTACCCTATCTTTTCCTATCTTACCCTATCTTATCCTATCTTTTCCTTTTTATTCTATCTTATCCTATTTTATCGTATCTAGTCCTATTTATCCTATTTTCTCCTATTTTCTCCTATTTTATCATATCTTATCCTATTGTTCTATCTTATCATATCCTATCTTATCCTAGTTTATCCTATCTTATCCTATATTATCCTATTTTATCCTATCTTGTCCTATCTTATCCTATTTTACCATGTTTTTCCTATCTTATCCTGTCTTATCCTATCGGTCTTTCTTATCTAGTCTTATCTTATCCTATCTTTCTTTTCCTATCTATGTATTTTAGCGTATCCTATCTTATCTATCTATCTTTCTTTCTTGTCCTATCTATCTACCTATCTATCTATGCTTCTTTCTTTCTCTCTTTCTTATCATACCTATCTACCTACCTATCTATCTATCTATCTACCTATCTATCTTTCTACCTATCTATCTATGCGAATAGAGTGTAGGCTACGGATCAATGTATAATTGCACAATCATGCACTCTAGGATCCAACACCAAAGGGGCATTCATAACCGGCCTCTTTGGCTCAAGACCCACTGCAGCACTGGAGAAAAGATCAGCAATGCGGAAGCAGCTGCCCTTGTAACGTTGTCACTGGATCGACTATTCCAACACAAACTACCAAGATATAATCGGGCTGACAATCCCCGATTCTCAGGTTATCAGCCGTAGGACTCCTACGGAGCCTACGAGCGGGTAGCCGCGGGCCTTACAGATGACTGAACAGGATAGCAGCGATAATGCATTTTCTTTCTCTGGACATGCCGTTGCACCAGCTGCCGGCACGCAGTCAAATTCTTCACAGAGTATCGACACTGGTGGAAGCGATGCCTCAGAATTGAGAACAAGCCAACCCAGGCGACATCTGGTTGCTCCTAGAGGGAGACAAATTTCGACAATGCAAGCAATTGAAGATAGGGACAGCACACCTGGAAAGAGAAGATCATCTGCACGACAATTGTCGCCTCCGATGACTCCAAGGACTAAGGCAAAGACTACGTCGTCGAATCCGCCTTCACCGATTCAGGACGCTACTCCATCAGGGACAGGATCTTATCAGCAAGTGAACGCCCCGTCAAGTGGTAGCGACATCTTCACTGCCTATCAGAGTGAACTAGCTGAATACAAAACATCACTGGAAAAGGCCACTGAAGAAGAATCCGTACTTCAGGCAAGATTGAGCGAGACGACAGCATATGCCTATCAACAATTTAATTTCCTGGAAAGCACCACTCATCAAGAGATGATGTCGATGACCGAACAACTCCAGATGCTGAACTTCGAGTTACAGGCTGCACAACAAGAAGATGAAGGTGCGACCTACAGGATCGAAGAGTTGGAAAGGTATCAGACTATGTCGAATGAAGCTGCATCTCATTTGGAATTCAAATATTCACGACTACGTTCGGAATTCGATGAACAAATGGGACAAGCGAACGCAATTATGGTGCATGTGGGCGCTGATGCGAATGCTCACATCAATCAACTCAGACTGGAACTGGAAAACGCAGAGATGAATGCCAAGCAAGAAGCTCTAGCGGTCGGCTATGCTAATGACCAGACATGTGCTTTACAGATCGAGATGCTCGAGGTTGCTAATCAGAACCAGACGATGAAGCACACCATGGCCATGAACGTCAGGCGACTGGAAACTGAGCTCGATGCTGCTGACATGAAGAGGGACGAGATCATGAAGGAGTTCCGTAGTAACATAAGATCTGAACATGACCGTTATGCAGAATGTGAACATCACTTAGCTTTGGAAGAATCGCAACTTCGATTGCAGGTGATCCACAATGAGAACTTACAATCTCGATTAACGACTTCTGAGAACAGAGTATCTGAAGAATCTCTAGCTGAATCAGGCGGCATGCGGGACATGAGATTAATGGGACTACGTTCTGAACTACACATGAAACAAAGTCTTTTAGATCGAATGCAACAACAACTGACTGAATCAAAGAATCAGTATCATGAACTTTCCTGTCAACAAGCCAGAAGATCTTCACCAAGCAGATCACCGCATGGAGGACCTCTATACGAGATGTACATGCAAGCCGTGCGTGAACGTGACAGTTTGAAGGAATCTAAGGCTGAGGTTGACAAGTTGTACTTACAGAACAGAGCTGAACTCATTGACACTGAGGACCTGCTCAAAGTCTTCCAGCGAAACTTCGATGAAACTGGTAAGAAATATCAAGATGCTCTGAACAAGATCGATCACATGAGCAACAATCCGAATGTGACGAGTAACTTGTTCGACAGTTTGCACAATGAACTCAATGACAGGGACACAGCTATTGCTCGCCTTCATACTGAACTTGAAGCCCAAAAGGATTCTCTTGAGCGTGCTCACAGGGATGCAGGTAAGTCCATCAAGATGTTGAACGACAGAAGACTCGTGATCAAAGGTGCGACTGACTATTCCATTCCTGAAAGCCACTTGACCGAGATGCATCAATTGGCCAATGAGCGTTTCGCTGAGGTAGAAGAGATGTCGAGCACTATTGCTGCCCTGAAGTTGGAAAACCAAGCTCATTCTTCTTCATCAATGAATAGACCGACTACATTACATGGGTACCCCAGTAATGCTATGCCTCGGAATGAATGTGAAGAGAAGTGTGCTAAACTGAAAGCAGAGTTGGACGAGATGAAGCAAGAGAAGAACAATGAAGTTCGAAATCTTCAAGATGAGTTGAAGAAGATGGAAGATCGGAAAGATTACTACAAGAACAATTTCTCTCAAGCTGAAGATCGCGCCAACGATGAAGAGCAGGAATACCGAGCAGAAGCTGAAGTCTTCGAGAAGCTCAGGAACGAGTACAACACCAATGTCAAGGAGTTGGAGAACCTTGAAAGGGATAGATCCAAGTCATCCGTATCTCTAAGAGAAGCCGAAAAGATCAGCCTCCAACCCTGGC